GAAATTGAGGGACGATCAGCTTGCGAGACAGAGGCGATTTGTACGGCCAAGTGCCTTACGAGCTTTTGTTCCTGTAAGTAACTCCAATCCTCCCAAGGGTTCCACGCAAACAACAATTTAAAAACTATCATGGGATGAAATGCAGATTCTAAGAGCTCAGGGATTGTGTTTCAATTGTAATGAAAAGTTCACCCCTGGACATAGGTGTCAAGCACCACACTTGATGATCCTAGAGGGTTGTATACAGGAAGATGAAGCACCAAAGGAAATGGGAGGGTTGAACACGACAAGAGAAATATCTGAGATTGAGGAAGATGTCAATAGAAAGGAGCCCGAGATCACTCTACATGCACTAACTGGATGGACCGTACCGAGAAACAATGCGAATTAAAGCAATTATTGAAGCTCATGAAGTGGTTGCCTTAATCGATAGTGGATCTCCTCACAATTTCATCAGTGATCAAGTAGCTGAAATGCTTCATTTGCCTGTGAAGCCCACAAAACCATTTACTGTCAGAGTTGCCAATGGGGAAAGATTATCATGAAAAGGGAAATACGAGAAGCTCACGATTGACCTACAAGGTAATGAGTTCCAACTAGATTTCTTTTCAGTGCCCTTGAATGATTTGGATATGGTACTAGGAATCCAATGGTTAGAAACATTGGGTTAAGTGGTTTGTGATTGGAAGAAGCTAACCATGGACTTCATCTGGGAGCAACAGCCTAAGAAACTCCAGGGGATTGAAATCCAACTGATCCAAGACACCATATTGCAGGGCTTCACTAAGGACTTTCGACAACGACAAGCTGTGTTTGCTTTATTATTTTCAACTCGAATGACAGCAAAACCATGAGGAAATCTCATCGGATATGCAGGCATTGTTGGAGAAATATTCAGATGTCTTTGCCGAGCCTACTAGTTTACCACCAGCACGCGAAATTGATCACAAAATACCACTCAAAGACGGAACCGAAGCTATTAATCTGAGGCCATACAGATACGCACATTTCCAAAAGACTGAGATTAAAAATCAGGTTCAAGACATACTCAATGCAAGTGAAGAAAAAAGATGGTACATGGAGATTTTGAACAGACTATCGAGCATTGAACGCTGCCACTATAAAGGATCGTTTTCCAATTCCAACCGTAGATGATATGCTTGATGAGTTATACGGAGCTGCATTCTTTACTAAGTTGGACCTTAAGGTAGGATACCACTAGATACGAGTTAGCACCCCTGACATTCCTAAAACAGCTTTTCGCACTCATAATGGCCACTATGAGTACTTGGTTATGACATTTGGGCTATGCAACACACCATCTACCTTCCAAGCAATAATGAACTTGATTTTTCAACCATGTTTGTAGAAGTTCATCTTGGTGTTTTTTGATGACATTCTAATTTACAGTCCGACTTGCATTAGACACCCTCCGAAAACACCAATTCTATGTGACGATGAGCAAATGTGCATTTGGCAAACAAGAGCTAGATATTTGGGCCACATAATTACGCATCGAGGAGTCAAAGTTGATGAAAACAAAATTGAAGCAATGGTTGCTTGGCCAAGACCCTCCAACATTACCGAGCTCCGTGGATTCTTAGGCCTAATTGGTTACTACTGCAAATTTGTTCAAGGTTACGGATTAGTAGCTCGACCATTAACTAACCTCCTTAAGAAAGGAAAGGTTCAATGGAATGAAGAAGCAGAACCGACTTTCTTAGCTTTGAAACAAGCCATGACATCAACCCCCACACTAGCCATACCAAACTTTACCGAAACTTTCATCATCGAGACGGATGCATCGAGGTACGGAATTGGAGCTGTTCTAACTCAACAAAATAGACCAATTGCCTATATGAGTCGAGACTTGGGCATCACTAAGCAAACTTGGTCAATTTATGCAACGGAAATGCTAGCTGTCGTGGAAGCAATACGTTTGTGGAGACCATATTTACTTGGCCGCAAATTCTACATCAAAACCGATCAATGGAGCCTCAAATTTTTCTTAGATCAACGTGTTGCAACTCTGGAGCGGCAAAAATGGGTAGCCAAATTACTGGGGTACGATTATGAAATCATCTTCCAACCAGGTCGTGACAACTCTGCAGCATATGCTTTATCTAGGCGGCAAGAAAGTATATTATTGGCTGCTCTTCATTTCTCAGAAGTGGATATTTGGAAGCAGATCCGCGAGGCTTCAAAATCAGATTCCTACGTGCAGCTTTTGGGACAAAAGGCTAATGCTCATCCTCATAGCAACTTGACTTGGCGTGATGGTTTGCTGCTTTACAAATGGAAGGTCGTGATACCTGCTCATCACTCCTTAAGGGCCAAATTATTGTATGAAGTTGACGATTCTAAAGTTGGAGGGCACTCAGGTATCCTTCGAACTCATAGAAGGTTGCAGCAGCAATTTTATTGGCCAAAGATGCATAAAGCTTTTCAAGAGTATGTTCAAAAATGTGAGGTATGTCAACGCATTAAACCAGAGACCATGGCACCAGCGGGATTATTACAACCCCTACCAATTCCAGCACAGGTTTGGGAGGACATCACTCTAGACTTTATTGAAGGGCTGCCCACTTCTCATGGCAAAGACACAATTCTGGTGGTCGTCGATCAGCTCAGTAAGTTTGCCCACTTTATTCCTTTAACTCACCCGTTTACGGCTAAAGTTGTTATTGAGGGTGTCGTCAAACTCCATGGAATGCCACAATCCATCATCAGTGATCGCTACCCAATCTTCATCAGCAAATTCTGGCAAGAATTCTTCGAACTCTCTGGATCCAAACTCATGCCCAGTTCAGCTTACCATCCACAAACGGACGGCCAAACTGAAGTTGTTAACCGCTGTGTTGAACAATACTTGCGCGCTACTTCGTTCACCAATGGCCGCAAAAATGGAGTACTTGGCTTGGGCAGAGTATTGGTACAATACCACCTACCACGCCTCAACGAAAATGACACATTACCAAGCACTTTATGGCCGCCTTCCACCACTTATTCTAGCCTATCCCGAGGGCCTTTCCCCAGTCTATGAAGTGGATTAAACCCTCCTGCAGCGTGACAAGCTGATCCACCAACTCAAGACGAATTTAGAGCTTTCCATGAACCGAGTGAAGCAACAAGCCGACTACAAGCGCAGAGATATCTAGTTCGAAGTTGGTATCAAGTCCTATTAAAGCTCCACCCATATCGCCAATAAACAGTCTTCAAACGGGCTCATCAGAAATTATCCAGCCGTTACTATGGACCCGATCCTATTTTGGAGAAGATTGGAGCAGTAGCATACTAATTGCAATTGCCACCTACAGCTCGAATCCACCCCGTGTTCCATGTCTCTTTACTTAAACCATACAATGGCACTCTAGCTGCATCCCCACTTAACTTACCTCCAGTTGCAGACGATGGCGTCATAGCCCTTGAGCCTCAAGAGATACTTGATACACGATGGTTTAAGCGTGGAGACACCTTCATTGAAGAAAACTTGGTGCACTGGAAGCATCTACCCTACGAAGAAGCCACCTAGGAGCCCACGGATACACTTTGCCACCAGTTTCCTCATCTGATGCTTGAGGACAAGCATCATCTTCATGGGGTGGGCAATGATAAGCCCAGAAGATCCTCTCGGACCCCGAGGCCCAACCCACACTATATGGACTGATGTCCAGGTTCAGAAGCCAAGCCCACTTGCAGCCATTTTCTTTATTGTATTTGCTGGTTTAATATTTGTTGGTTTACTTTTGTTTTAGGGCAGTTATTTGCACGACTGCAATTCATGGGTAGTGGGTGACTGGGTCTCCTTCAGACTCGGACGCCATTAGCTTCATTTCAGTTATTTCTTTGATGTATAAATTGGGGAAGAAGACAATGAAAAGGGGGATCAGAAATTAATTAATTTGTGGTTCATTCTCACCCCCAATAGAATACATTTTGTGCGTTTATAGTGCTTGTACTGGTCCCTATCAACTTGCCTCTCATATAACTCCCTCAATTGCTATTTATCAAGGTCCCATAACAAATTGATCGCTATCAAAAGAATATCTGATTAAAGCACACTTGATACCATATAGAATGGACTTCTAGCAGGTATAATCAACAATGTAATTCAAGCAGAAATTCAAATTGAGAAAGCTATATTTTCCTAAAAAAAGGTTGCTCTAAAACAGACAA